CTGAGAGAAGCAATATGGACAACTTTTAACGTGAATAAATATTCTAGTTTATTGAATGTGACATACTAACTAAATCACTTAAGAGAAAAGCATCAGGTAAGTTTTGATAAAACAAGGATATTCAACAGCTGTTTTAATACTTTGGGACCTGCCAGCGATTACTCTATGTGGGCAACCACTGATAAACTGACTGTGTGGAAACATTAGAATCTGCAAGTAATCAGATCTCATGGAAACATCTATTGCTTCTGCTGTCTTCATCTTGCAATCATCACTTCCTGAAACAGTCCTGAAAAGAGCAAAGATGACTGAACAAACAGCGCCACCATGTGGTCATCACATCACAACACTTGGCTAGAAGTGAAAAAGTGAAAGAAGCTCAGTTGGAGGGAAATAAAATTAGTTTTGTTTGTGGTGGATTTTGGAAAACCTGGAAAAGTGGGATCAAAACAAGAAAATCAAAGAAAGTATAAAAAGCAAGAGACAGCAAAATCACATGGATTATCAGAGCCTAGAAAAAGATGTATTAGATTATCAATGACTGCCCCCAGCCCAATGTGAGTCACTGGGAATGATGAACAAACACAGCGCTAAGACCGGAACGTGCAGTAAAACGTCGCTGTTGATAAAACAAAAAAAAACTGCACTAACTAACTAAAAAATAAAACAACTCAACAGATTTGTACACATCTCAGAAAGCATTTTCCTTTTGGGGCATTTTCAGCCAGGTCCTTTTGCAAAATCCCCTTTAAGTGAAAGAATGTATGGAGGCCCAGAGGGGTCAACAACATAACCGGGCAACCATAGAAATGTACATTACTTGCCTTGAAATCTCTGATTTTTCTCATTTATTTGGTTAAAATTATGTCAAGATCAGTTTTACTGGGAGACAACTTTGGCTCTGGGATTGATATGGATGTACAGACTGTCCCTCTAATGCTACGTTCACACCTAACGCAGCAGAAGCAGCTGGTTTCCATGCAAAGTCAATGGTTGACGCGCATCAAGGCGCAGAAATAGGTCCTGCAGCGTCCCAAAACAAAAATGGAAGCACAGTCAAATGTGTGCGTCTCAAATGTGAACCATAATATGAAACGACATTGGGGATTGACCGATCTATCCTCTAGCATCACACGACAACCATCACCAAGACTTCTAGAATGTGGTTATTAACATGGAGGCCACAGTGACCGCCTGCCTGGCAACAATGCACGCAAGATGGGAACCGTTAGCCTTTAGATATAAAATCCCATCATGCACCGCAACATATTTTTGCAAAATATGCAAACATAAATTGACAAAATATAAGAGGAACATCGTAGGTTGGTTTAAAGAAAGCATTTAGTTTTATTATAAATTAGTTTGTTGCAAGGATTTTACAGTTTGAAGAAAAAGAAAATGACCCCATATGCCAACCGTCACAAGGATGTGCA